AACAAACAGCCCCTTAATCTTTCTTTGTATGGTACTTATATGATCTTAAGTTGCTAGTTTTGTTTCAATAATTATAGTAATTTTTCTAATTATGTGTTAATTTATGATTGTGATTTAAAACTTTATTGTAATTTAGGATATTTCATATTTTTGAATAAAATTAGTTTCTCATATATATATATATATATATATACTTACAGAGTTTAATCCATTCAACACTTAAAAACTCTGATGTAATGGGCGGGCATAATCAGTTAGGATTGCAGAGTATATACAGTGCTTCCACTGTTAGGAAACTGGACCCTCATTCCCCCGGAACATGGGCGACCTTACAGCTAAATGAGTAACTTTATGAAGCAAACTCCATAGCCTATTTTCTTGCATGCATACCAACCCCAAAATAGTAACCTGTTTGTGACACAGTTGATTTGACGTGTTGGAGTGGAAAGTGGTCACGAGTCACGAGTCACTCCATGTAAACGTGGTGGCCAGCAGATTGAAAGGAGAGCAAATACCCCTTTGACATTACATAAAACCCCATTTGGAAAACTGGGTGTTTGGAAAGTATCTTTTGTGTTGCTGCTTTTTTTTTTGGTTTCATTTTTTCCCTTTTTGGGTTGGCATGTAGTTGAGTGGTGATTTTGTTGTGTAGCGTCTAAAAAATGATAAAAAATAGTGTGATCGATTAAAGAAGTAATCGGTTAAAATTTAGATCGATTATGTTATATCATTTAATCGGAAATATTATCAAGTATAATAACATATTAAGTAGCGTTTATATAATATAATAAATAGCGCTTATATAATAAAATAAGTATTTAACCGGTATATTTATACCGGTAGCATTGCAAATTTACCTATTGTATTATAATTATTCGTTTCGTTGTTTTTTGGATCAATACAATTTTAAATGTGTCGAAACTTTATGCCAGCACCTCGTTGGGCATTCCTAATTCATTCTGGAAAAAAGTATCGACATAAACTATAAAGGTGTCGATACATTATTTAGACCTATTTTCTCATAAAACCGGTATATTTATACATGGTACATTGTAAATTTACCTATAACATTGTAATTTTTGTTTCGATGTTTTTGAGATCGATACAATTTTAAATGTATCGACACGTTATTCTTGCACCTCGTTGGGCATTCATTATGGACAAAATGTATCGACACAAATTACACAAGTGTCGATACTTTATTCTAACCTATTTTCTCATAAAACCGGTAAATTTAAACCGATTACATTGTAAATTGACCTATTACATTATAATTATCGGTTTCGATATTTTTGTGATCGATACAATTTTAAATGTATCGATACTTTATGCGTGAACCTGTTTGTGCTTTCTTTTGGAAAAAAGTATCGACACAAACTTAAAAAGTGTCGATACTTTATGTTGACATGTTTTATAATTAATCGGTATATGTATACTGGTTACATTGTTAATTTAAATATTACATTATAATTATTTGTTTCGATGTTTTTGGGGTCGATACTTTTTGAAAATGTATCGACACATATTCTTACATATGTATCGAAACAAATCTTTGTGTTTATTAATTTTGTTATTAAAAAAATATATTTTTATCACCTACATTGTAAATTTACCTATTACTTTAAAGTTATTAAATGTTGTAGTTATTGTACATACCTGAATATGTCCTGCAAATTTAATGTTGTACCCACCCTCCAACTACCACTACCACTACCAATACCACATCCTATTGAAAGCACCACTGAAAACATGTTGCATAATCTTATTTGGTCGGATTCTACATCGAGATCATATTACATATGCTTCGGTGATGTAATTGCGTTCGACACAACGTACAAAGATAATTTGTATGGTAGACCAATTATGCCTATTGTCGGTGTCAATCATCACCATAACACAATTGTGTTTGCTACTGCCATAATCGCTAACGAGACGTCCCAATCTTTCGAGTGGGTGCTACATAATCTTTTAGAAGCCATGATGAATAAATCGTCTATTTCAGTTGTCACCGATGGGGATAGGGCAATGCAGAGGGCTATCAAATCTGTTATCCCTAATGCTAAGCCCAGATTATGTTCTTGGCATCTTTCTCGCAGTGCACAAGCTAACATTGGTGACCCAAAATTTACAGCAGCATTCTCAAAATGCATGGCTTCCTGGTGGACAACCGACGAATTTGATATTCAATGGCATTCAGTTGTTTCAGAATTCAACATCGAAAAGCATCCATGGGTGATTGAGAAGGGAAATACTCGGCACTTATGGGCACAAGCATATTTAACCGATCATTTCTTTGCTAATATTCGCTCAACACAAAGGTGCGAGTCTATGAATGCTTCACTCGCAATTGCACTGAAACACAAGAAGACTTATTTAGATGTTGTTCGTGCAATTGAAGATGGAATTAGTAGAATGCGTCTGAATGAGTTGAAAACGGATTACTTAAGTTCCCAGACGAAGCCCTTCCAGATCACAAAACTGGTTGAATTTGAAAGTCATGCTTCTGAGATTTTTACGCGCAAATCTTTTCATGCGTTTCAAGAAGAACTTCAACGGGAGACATTGTACCGGATTCAGGAAGAGATTCAGTCATTATCAGATGAATGTCAATATTTTTATTTGAAAAAGTACAAAGAAGAAAATAGGACATTTGAAATTAGTTTTGATTCTCGTACGGAAACTCTAAATTGCTCATGCAGAAAATTCGAGACCGTTGGACTTCCATGTCGCCATCAACTTCACGTTTTGAAGCACTTGGATTATACATATTTGCCCGGGTCTTTGATTCAAAGTAGGTGGACTAAGGATGCAAAGTTTTCTGCACCCAGTTTTGTTGATTTGAATGTGCCTCAAGAAATAATGCAAATGGCAAGGTTTACTTCTCTACGTGCAACAACAAGTATGTTATGCTATGCTGCATCAAAGATAGAAGCGTCTTTTAAAACTGCAAGAGATGAGATGAAAAGACTAACAGAAGAATTTGAGATCTCGTTTGGTTTGAATGATTCAGTCAATCGAAGCAATGTATTAAACAACGTTCGCGACCCTCAACGAAAACAACGCAAGCGAAAAAGAGTAACAAAGAACAAGGTCGAGAAGAAGATTAGGCAATGTGGGTTCTGCAACGGTGAGGGACATAACAAACTAACATGTCCTCAAGTCAAGCTGGGTTTGAATACAAGCACGCATCCTACTTCAACTGATTTTTTTGAAGACAGAATGGAATGATTATGAACCTCCAGCACATGATGTTAGAGACATTTGGTTATAATTATGTTTTTCGATATTTTTGGGATCGACAATTGTTATAAATGTATCGAAACTTTGTTGTGCACTTGGTTTTTAAAATATAGTATGGACAAAAATGTATCGAAACTTCATGTATTTGTGTCGATACTTCATGTATACCTGATTTCTCATAAATCGGTACATTTAGACCGGTTACATTGTTAATTTACCTATTACATTATAATTATAGTTTTCGATGTTTTTAGGATCGACACTTGTTATAAATGTATCGACTCTTTTTAGTGCACTTGGTTTTGAAATACATTTTAGAGAAAAAATATCGACACTTGTTATATTTGTGTCGATACTTTTTGTACACATGTTTTCTCAAAAACCGGTATATTTAGACCGTTTACATGAATAATTCACCTATTACATTATAATTTAGATCGTTTTACTGGTTTTGTCAATTTTGAGACCTGTTTTATCATATTTTTACCTGTTATATTGTTATGGATCAATATACTTTTTTAAAGTATCGACACTTTATAGGCACTATAACTTCTTCTCTTTTAAATTCAGAAAGTTTCGATACTTATATTAAATTATCGACACTTTCAATATATCCGGTAGCATTTTACTGGTTTTGTCAATTTTGAGACCTGTTTTATCATATTTTTACCTGTTATATTGTTATGGATCGATACATTTTCATAAAGTGTCGACACTTTTTAAGCATAATAACTTTTTCTCTTTTAAATTCAGAAAGTATCAATACTTATATTAAATTATCGACACTTTTAACATATCCGGTAACTTTTTCCGGTTTTGTCATTTTTGAGACACGTTTTATCATATTTTTACCTGTTATATTGGTAAGGATCGATACATTTTCATAAAGTGTCGACACTTTTTAGGCGTTATAACTTCTTCTCTTTTAAATTCAGAAAGTGACGATACTAATATTAAATTATCAACACTTTCAATATATCCGGTAACTTTTTTCGGTTTTGTCATTTTTTAGATCAGTTTTATCATATTTTTACCTGTTATATTGTTATAGATCGATATTTTTTTTAAAGTATCGACACTTTATAGGCGCTATAACTTCTTCTCTTTTAAATTCAGAAAGTTTCGATACTTATATTAAATTATCGACACTCGACACATATCCGGTAGCGTTTTATCGGTTTTGTCATTTTGGGACCGGTTTTGTCATATTTGTACCTGTAATATTGCTATGGAGCGATCCATTTTTCATTTGTATCGACACAAACCAACAATGCTAAGTTTACCGGTTACTAAATTTTTAATATTTCTTTATGATTTAGACCTACTACATTATTATTACTCAACATTTCCGATAGCGCTAAATCAAATATTATAAATATATTATAATATATCTGGTAACGTCATATATTAATCGTATATTAGTCCGCCTCTCCGGAGACAATCCCGTAGTTAAGGGCTTAAGAGAGGCAGCTTAGTTATTTTGTGGCTCGTGAAACGAGGCTGGGTCCTTTCCCTTTGTTTTGCTTCTACCCTCGTTGATCAGTGCTCCAGCCTCCACGTTCCATCCTTGGTTCAGACCTTCACAGAAAATATAACATAAAAAAAAACACAAATTTTCATCTTTTGTTTTGTTTGTTTGCAATTGCGTTGTAAATGTGGCATTCAAGTACTGAAAAACAACTTTCCTTGAGTGACACTTTTCAGAATTTCAGATTCAGTTTACCCTCCTTCACTGCAAGCCATATTTAATTTTCCCTGCCTTGGGTTCTTATCGATTCACTGCAATCTCTCCTCTTGTAAGTTCTCTAACAAAATATGAGCTGCTTTCCAAGTAATAGACGCCTTATTGTTTCCCTGCTGTTTCTCCTGGTTTCAAGCTTGTCCAAAGGTACATTCATGGCTGCAGAGGGTTAGTTGCTTTTCTCTTTGTTCTAAAATGGAAATAACCCAAGTTTTGATTATCGACTTCATTTTCATTTCCCTTTCCCTTTCCAGGAAGGTCACTTGATGTTGCTGAGGTATTGATGAATTCCAGGGGTCAATAGTTCAATTAATTTTCTTTTCTTTTTCTTTTTCTTCTTCTTCTTCTTCTTCTTCTTCTTCTTGGCATCCAATCAGAAAATGATGGAATTGGATGATGTTGGTATGACAGAAGGGAATGAAAGAAGAGAAGAGAACGGTGATGAGGAACGTGATAGGGTCAAGGCCACCGACTTGCGAGAGAAGGTGCAGTTGGTGCGCACACTGTGAGGCAATTCAAGTTCCTATTACCACACAGTTCCAGAACAGAAGAAGCCCACATTTATCCGTTCCGTACTCGAGAGGCAATGATGTCTCCAATTACTAGCCAATGTGTTGGAGTGTAGCAACATCATTTTCAACCCTTGATTTTGAACAATGTTTTAATTGTGGATAAAATAAGTTCAATTTCTATTCTATATATATATCTTTGTCCTTTTCACTCTCTTCTTGAATATTTGCTTAGCTATATGGGGTTTTACAATCTTTGATTGTTATGAATAATCGGTGGTAAAAGTTTTGATGGAAAGTGACGACATGGATATGTTACAAGATTTCTGCACACGCTGTAGAGAAAGCTGAGAAGCTCTGTTTTCGTTGCAGCATTTTTTCAGACAGACTCTCTCGAAGGCCTAAATACTTAACCATTAAAACACTTTGATTACTAATGATGAGAATATGTTGCAAGGTGTTGAGATACTTGGAGCAGCTATATTAAACAGCAAGAATCAAGAAACAGATGCTTTCTTTCTTATGATTTAACTCTTCCTTTTACAAGCTTTATATAATGTTCATACATGCATGCTGTTACAAAACTACTAACAACCCTAACCACCTAACGTCCTAACTACAACAACTCCACGTGCAATGATCAGTTGTGAGCAACTCCATGAGCAATGTCTGCATGTAGCTCGTGCAGACTTATTCCAACATTCTCCCTACTTTCTCTCCTCTCCTGCTTCTTCAACACACCTTCACACACAATTTTTCTCGAAATTCTTCAAAAGCATGTCGAGTTAACGGCTTGGTCAAGCCATTAGCAATCTGATGAGCAGGAGGCACATAGTTAACACGCATTTGCTTTGCTGTAACCTTCTCTCGTACAAAGTGTATGTCAATATCAACATATGTGTATGATAAACAGGGTTCACGCTCATAGCCACAACACTGGTGTTGTCACACCATATGACTGTTTCTTCTTTTTGGCATACACCAAGTTCTACAAGCAATGCTCTAACCCAAACCACATATGTTACGGTATCAACAACACTCTTGTATTAAGCCTCCATTGTAGAGCGTGTACAAACTTATGTTTCTTTGAGCTCCAAGCAACTAAATTTTTGCCAACAAAGACACTATGTCCAGACATTGATCTCCTGTCATCGAGATTACCACCCCAATCTGCATCTCAAAGGCGACAACTTTCACTCCAGTTCCAGCAGCAGTGAAAACCAAACTAAAGTTCATTGTGCCCACCAAGTAACACATAATCCGTTTTACTGCAACCATATATGACTGTCGTGGTGCATGCATATATTGAGCCACTTTGTTAACACATAATGCAATATCAGGTCTTATGTGGCACACATAAAGCAGCCCTCCAACAATGTTGCGATAGTTGTATGCATCAACAATAAGCTCCCCATCATCACAACACAACTTGGTAGCAGCTAGCATGGGAGTTGGTATAGGTGTAGCTTTTAACATGTTTTCTTTTTCCAGAAGCTCCATAATGAATTTCTTCTGTTACAAAGCAAGACATTCACTTGTTCTTTTTACTTCAATGCCCAAAAGGTATGAAAGTTTCCTGAGATCCTTTAGTGAGAATCTATTACTTAGCAATCGAACCACTTCATCTATCTCATTACTCAAATGGCTTGTGATGATTATGTCATCAACACACACTAGCAGATAAATATAGTTCACACCCTTCTTCTTGATAAACAATGATACATCAGCTTGTGATTCTTGAAACCCAATACTTAATAAGTTGTCTCGAAGCTTAGTATGCCAGCTTCTGGGTGCTTGTCTCAGCCTATAAAGTGTCTTTTTCAACCAACAGACCAGCTTACTTCCATCAGGAGCAGCCTGTTCAAAACCTGGTGGTTGTTGCATGAAGACTACCTCTTGAAGCTCACCATTCAAGAATGCATTGTTTACATCTACTTGTCGAAGAACCCAATTTTTGGTTACTGTTAGTGAGAGGATAACATTCAAGGTAGTTAATTTAACCATGGGGCTAAAAATGTCTCTAAAATCATTGCCAGGGATTTGTGAGAACCCTTTAACAACCAAGCGTGCCTTGTATCGATGAATTGAGCCATCAGGGTTTTCTTGAGCATGAACAACCATTTATAGTAAACCACCTTCCTTCATTCTGGTAACCTAGCTAATTCCCAAGTCTCATTATATTGCAGTGCATTATACTCTTCATTAACTGTCGATTTCCATTCTGAAACTTTAAATGCTTCATGTACAGTGCATGGAACATAGTCAACAACATACCCTATATAAGCTTTGGGTTTAAACACCCCGTATTTGCTTCGAGTTAGCATGGATGAGTTTTTCCTCGAGTTCATTCGGTTTCATCATTATTGTCGCTGGCCATATTATCAACATGTTGACCTTCAACATCATCATTTACGGTCATACTATCAGTATGTTGTTCTGGGCTCATCTCATGCTCTACACTTCCACTATTGTCATAGACATCAATTGTAGGCAGCTCATTAACAACAGCATGAACAACATTTTCTTCCACACCATGAGCATCACCTGATGCTTGTAAGCCATCTGATGAACTACTGCTTACATTTGTAGACAACCTATGAGTTTCAGGGTGTTGAGCCCTGAACTTAGAAACATCAGTGATTAATTCAAGCGACAGAGATTGCCTTTAATTTAAATATGCAATAGAACTCCTGCTAGGATTACCTGCAAAAGGAAACACATCCTCATTAAATACCACGTGCCTTGAATTATAGACACGCCCATCACTTACTAAGCATTGAAACCCTTTCTGCTGTATGTTGTAACCTAAAAACGTGCATAGCTGATATCGAAACTCAAGCTTGTGACGTAAAAACGACCTTAGATGTGGAAATCATCTGCAACCAAACACTCTCAATCTACTGTAATATGGAATTTTTCCATACAAAACCTCAAATGGAGACTTATCATGCAAAACTCTTGATGGTAATCTGTTAAACAAGTGCACAGTGGTCTGAATAGCATATGACCATAATTTAATAGGTATAGAAGCCTGAGTAAGTATAACTAAAGTCATTCAACAAGATGCCTATGTTTTTGCTCAACTACACCATTTTGTTCAGATGTATGGGGACAAGTAAGATGATGAAGAACACCAGCCTTGCTTAATTCATCTGTTAATGGTCGAAACTCTCCTCCCCAATAAGTTTGAAGGGCTTTAACTACCCCCACCAAACTGTATTGTAACTAACTTCTAAAACAACCTGAATGTTGTTACAGCTTCAACCTTTGTTTTTAACAGGTACATCCATGTAAACCGTGTGGCAGCATCAAAAAATTACACATATAACCGAAAACCAGTTGAGGACATATGTGGAGGTCCCCATAGATCCGAATAGACAAGCTGAAATGGTTCAGTATAAACACTATCAGATCGAGGAAAAGGCAATTTGTGGCTTTTACCCAAATGACCAGCTACACAACTTTTATTGATATCATGAAGAACTTTTACATCAATTTGTTTACAAATTTTGACAAGAGTATCATGACCAGGATGACCTAGTCTCCTGTGCCAAATTTCAGATGTCTTGGAGGATGCCATGGCAGTATGAACTTTAGCTACACCATTTCTTCTTTGAGTACTGCTAGCTTTGAAAGAGTATAAGCCATCACATTTTATACCTCTTAGTAACACAACCTTTGTGTCTTCATCTCTAACACTATGTTTTAGCATGGACCTCAAGAAACACATGGTTATCCCTAGCAAGCATAGAAACAGAAAGTAGATTCTTAGTAATTGAGGGAACATGAAGGATGTCACTTAAAGACAAAGTACACGATGAAGCTTGTAATTCAGCCTTACCAACCTTATGAATAGACAAATAATCACCATTTCCAACCACTAACTTACTAGGATTGTTACAATTTGTGTGATGAGTAATCGAGGTTGCATTGGAAGTAACATGGTGTGTTGCACCAGAGTCAATCACCCACTGATCTTGACCAAAAGAACTAGAGTGTGCCTGATTTTGCCCATCACTTCTGTTACCATCATGATATGTACTATCGTGATTACATCAACCACATGCATTGCCCCTAGCTCCATTGGCAGTATAGTAGGATTTAGAACTTTCAAAACCAAAGGTATGATCATCAAGTGTAATTCCAATGAAATCATCATAAAACCTATGACAGGACTAACTAAAAAAATGTCCATTCTTGCCACATAGTTGGCAGTGAACTTTGGGTCAACCTCTACCTCTGCCATGAGACCTCCTTCATGAGTAGGACGAATTATTGGATCTATACTGTTGATTTTCCCTATTCTTATTAGAATCAGATTCTACTTTTCCTTGTGCAAGATTAACACTAACAGGTAAAGACTCAGGTTGATAATCAAAGCCCTCAAGCTGTGTTTCAGCATCAATTAGCATGGTGCAGATGCTGTTAAGTGATAGCGAGTCACGCATGGCAGATATGACTGCAATGAAGGGATGGTACTCTCTTGTAAGACCTTTAAGGATGCTTGCAACATGTTCAGACACTGAAACTGGACTTCCACAAGAAGTTAATGCATCAATAACTTATTTCACCGTAGTAAGATAAACCCTCATGCTATCTCCTCATTTCTTGAGGGACTGCACTTGTAATGTAGACTCATTACAGCAGTGGAAGATCGATTTGCAAAGAATTACAAAACTTTATTCCATACCTAAGCTGATGTTTCAACACCTACAAACTGTGGGAGTAAGTGAGGACTGACTGTTGATAGCAACCATGAAGCTAGCGCGCTATCTTGGGCCAGAAACTCCTCATACTCTTCAGTGATGACTGCATTTCCTTCTTCACCAACCATTGTTTCTGGAGAAGGTAGCATCGTTCCTGTCAACATTCGCTCAAGACGATAACTCCACACAGTGAGTAATACTTGGTGTTTCCAAAGAAGGAAGTTTGATTCATCAAGAATCATGTTTACCCTTTTGTTCGTGAAAACTTTGGTGTTTCTTGATGAAAACTCTATTGAAGTGGCTGTGGAAAAGGCACTTTGATCCATAACAGCACGAACAGCGGAAACAAGCCCTAGGATACAACAACGAATGATACCATGTTGAGATACTT